GGGGGGGGTGTCTCCTCGCTTCTGCTCGCCTTCTCCACCCCGCTTCACCTTCCCGCTCACCCCCTTCCCCCCTTGCCCGAACCTCAGCTCTACTCCGCAGCCGCGGGCGGCGGCAGCCTGCGTGCGCCCCTGGCTGGAGCCGGCGCCGGGGTCGCGCACCGCCTTCCGCAGGCAAACTTTGTACATTTCCGCGTCTCCCTTTTGTGTAAGTTGAGAAAGATGGGAGGGGTCGGAGACTCGCGGCCACCTCGCACCTTCCCGGAGCCTGGACGTCCCGGGGCATTTGCTCGCACCTTGAGCTGCTCCGGGAGGCGGGGGTGGGGGTGGGGGTAGTCCCCGGGAACAAAAGCCGCGACACCCCGCCCTCGCAGTCCAGGGCGCGGTAGCCGAGCCGCCCGGGTCTGTGCGCCCCCGAGGTTCCCAGCCCGTCTGCCCGGGAGGGGGCTGGGGTGCTGGCGGGGCCTCGGGGCCCCTCCCTCTGCGCCCTGCCCTCAGGCCACCACCTGGGCGAGCTAATTCTGTGCTGGCTGAGAAGACCTTGGGGAGGAAAACGCGGACTGGGGTGTGCGTCTGGAAAGGGCAGAGGCAGTGGAGGGGAGGCGCAGGCTGTCCCCTCTAGTGTATGAAAGGAGAGGGTTGCCTGATAAAGGCGCGGCCTCCTCCCTGGTGGCGCTGGGAACTCTGGTTTAGTCCCCCTGGGGACGAAGGATGTTGGGGAGGGTGCGCAAAGTCCTTTTTTTTTAGGGTGCAGATAAAAGGATTGAGTAGAGTGAAGATTAAGACTGAGAAGATGGCGCCTCTGCAGTGCAGCAAAGAAAAGCTATGTGGAGGCTGCAGCCTGGTGAAATCCACCCACCACTAGGTGTACAGAACAAGTCTTCCTATTCATCCAACTCCGAAACGTTGATCTGACACCAATGCAAAGCGACTGTTTTCCTTTTTTACCTAAAGGTGCTCAGAAGTTGTTTGCCTGACAGTTGGGGCAGAGGAGATTGTATTTTGCCTCGGTTGGGTCCTGTTCACTGTCTTGTCATTTGCATCATTCCCTCCTTATCCTCCCTCCTCTCCCCCTACGTCCTGGTAGTTTTCCAATCTCCTTTCCCCCTCAAAAAAAACAATTTCCAGACAAGTGTTTTCCTGTAATTCCATTGAGGCTGTGTGGTCTGTCACCATTACAGTTCTTTTAGTCCCTAATTTACAAGGTCACTGAACTTTTCTCCCTTCTGATTGTTATCCACAAGTGGCTCAGGAATCTCCAGAGTTCTAGTTAAGACAGGTACTTCTAAGAGGAAGAATTTGCTTTTCCATGTTTTCCAAAAAAAGGCATTTAGTTAAGGAGATTCTTATTTCTCTTATCACTTAAAATTTTATGTATGTCATTTCCATTTTCCTAAATTTTTGCTACAAATGGAAAAATAAAGATGTATCATAACCTTTATTTTTAGAGCTTTGTCGAAGCTTAAATACTGAACCTTCTTGAGCAATTGTTTTTCTATTTAAAAAAAGGTAGCATGGGGACAGATGTGAAGTGGATTTATTTTTTTGATCCTTTTTATGGCATTTTCTTGTTCTTTCTGTCATCCTTCTGGGCATTTTCTCCATTTATTGTCAGCTTTAAAGGGTGGAAGTGAGATTCACATTAGTACATTTTGCAAAGTTGGTAGAAGGGTAGATAATTGACTCTAATGAGGTTTGAAGGGGACTTGTGCAGTTCTGGCTGGGTCTACAGAAACGATGTGATCATGAGTTGCCTGTCTTTTGTAGAGCTTAGAAAACAGGTCCTGTGCAGGTGGCTCGAAAAGAGAAATGATAAGAGTGACCATAATGGGGCCTCTGCTTGGAGGGAACAGTTCTTAACCTGGGTTGATACTTTTGCCTGGTGGATTCATTAGAGGAACGAGGTGTACATTTATTTACTTATTTATTCATTCATTCTTCCTTTCACTGAAGTTTTATTTTCCTGTATTGAGGGGTTTAATCTAATCACAGTCATCTTTCCTCCATGGTGGTCCTGATTCACAGAGAAACCTACCTTTACTGACAAGAACTCACTCCCCAAAATGTAGCTGCCTACACAGAGAAGAGCGAGAGCCATTTGATGGTGATCTGTAGGAACTCAGGGTTTCTTGCTAATCTGCGGGAAGCCATGATAACTGGCAGGCTGCAAAAGCTTCTCTTGTCATCTAGGCAGCAGAAGCCCTGATGGGACCTGCGAAACTGTTAGCACTGTAGAGAACTTACAAGATGAAACACTCGTTCCTCCTCTGAATGGAAAACATAGAAAGGAGCATGCAAGATCCCATGGTTAAATTGGGAATGACCGATTTTAAGAAAAAGCCATCAACTGAACATTAGTGTAAGGGAAAATGGAGAGGTTATCTATGGTGAAGGCTTGCCACAGGATCCCTGTTACTGTTAAAGACGTACCAGGGCTTTATGTACAGTTACTGTATCTTCACAAAGATTGCCATTCATGCTAAAAACAAGCATAGCTATTTTGTGCCTGAAGAAATGGATAAAATTTAGTAAAAATGAACATTACTTCTCACATTTTATTGCCTTGGGATTCACAGAATATCTCAGTAATACATTTCTTTTTGAATATACCAGTTTGCAAAGATAAACCTGTACAGGGCTGGGGATTTAGCTCAGTGGTCTCGCCGCCTGCTGTGCAAGCACAAGGACCTGAGTTCGATCCCCGTACCAAATAATAATAGTAATAATAATAAAAAATAAACCTGTACATACGCATTTCCAATGTCAGGCTTCCAAAATGTGGGGCTTAGTTTGACTTTATACACCTCATTTTACTCACCCTCCTCAAAGTTTGTGGGATAAATAACGCAGCATATAGTTATAAAAGAAAATAGAGTGTGTTAAGTACTAAAAAGAAAGTACAGATTAGGTGGTGTACTAAGTTAAAGTGTGCCAGGGTAAATCCCTCTATTTAAAGCTTAGAGGAACAATAGAATGAGATAATCCTGGAGCATTTCCTAGTTGTAAATTTCCAACCAGGTTTGGATCCCAGCTTTGGGGAATGCAGGTTCATTCTTTGCACGGAGTATTTGTTTACATGCCTTTTTCAGTTCCACCCCTCCACACACATGGACACAACTCATCACACACACACACACACACACACACACACGAGACAAAAATGTGTAGCAGGGCCTTTCTCTTCATTAATTCTCTGTGCTTCTGTTAGAGCTGTGTACAGATAAAGTTCTTAAATAATCAAAGAATGAACAAGTGTGGGATTTGTTCGATTAAATTCTTCATCTGCTCATTAGGGAAAATTTTATTGATTTACCTTTGGGGCCAAACCCAATCTCTGCGCTCCCAGATCTGATGAACCAAACCATTTTCTCTTTCATACAGCTTCCAATCTCCTGGGGGAGACAGATAATAAACAAACCATAAATATAGCCACGTGAACAGTGGCAGGTGTGGGGTATACTCTGAGACGAGTGAGGAACTAGAAATAAAGAGGCAAGGGTATGAGTGCAGGCTTGCAGGTGCTGGTAGTAATATCTTCAATAGCATCTTGACCCACATAGTGCATGACAAAACAAAGGGGTTCATCGAGCAACAAGAGGATGGGGGAGATCAAACATTTTTAAGCACCTCTAACAAGGAACGTTATTAATCAGGAATTTTTGACATTGATTGCACATTGGAATCATGGGGATTAAAAACCCCCCACTGTTGTCAGAACTCTACCCAGTGCAACTAAATATGAGCCCTGGGAGCAATGGCTGGCCATTGGCATTTAAAAAAACACCAAAAACATATCTTTGTGGATAATCCTTAAGTACAACCAGCATTTTGAAACCAGTGACAAATGCATCAATTTGAACGACAGGCCTGCCACCTTTTGAGAATCTTAGTCAGGATTCATCATCATTGGTCTGAAAGTAGAAATTCCAACTAGTGCTTAGCCAGAGAGGCTAAGTGGAACAAGATATATGGAGAAAGGCAAAAGAAAACAGGCTATTTTTCGAATGTTTTCATCTCTCCTCAAAGCTGTTATGCATTAACGTTATCCCTGTAGCAAGGACTAATTGGACGTTCCTGTTTTCTCCCTCCCTCCTTTTCCTTCCTCCCTTCCTTGCCTTCCATCTTTCTTTTGCTGCTGTGTTTTTAGCTTTCTCTGTTTTACTTGACTGAAATCTTCTCACTTT